ATACCGTGATATAAATTTTTGGTCATACCGCCCAGCACTACTGCGTGTTCTTATCCTATGAGATGATGTTTCGCTTAATTATTCACAACAGCATGTGTTGATTTGCTATGACAGACTTTTCAGACTGTGAGATGACATCACGCACGTTAACTGAGAGAAATGTTCATGGATCGAAGAAGTGTTTGTTTTTGCTTTGTAATAAGAGTTCGGCACAAACGCGATTCATTCACTTGGTGAGTATAACCGTTTTTACAGCTCTGTGACACAACCCGTCAAAAGGCTTATATAAACGCCACAGAATAAGCCTTAAAAGTTCTCAGAGGTGCAACAGCGCGTTCATATACTGTATATGTTTTCGATGCAGAGTGCAAATGGCTGTGCATTTATTTGTGTTTTTAACTCGATGGGAGCGAAATGAAACTGTCTGAACGCGAAGCTGTGCATGTTGTCTGTCTCTCCTCTTCCCCCTCCTCCGCTCCGCTGCGCACCACTTTTTTAGCGTTTTTTTAAAACTCTGGTGAGAACTAACCAGTGCTGAAACGGGGGGTTCCATGACCCTTTAAAATGCCTTCCATTTTAATGTAAGTGAGAAGCATTATGTAATATAAAGGTAGTATAAAGGTAGCTCTTTACAAATAAAGGTTACTAAATTTGACATTCTGCAGATTAGGGATGGATCATGATGGTTATAGGCATCTAACAACTACCTACTGAATTTGTTAAAGTGACCGGATCTAATTTTTTGGTTTAATTGTTCTTTTTTTCCTTTTAGTTTTTTTAACCTGTGGTTATTTAACATGCCATGTTTTATAGAATAAATTATTACTGAATGAAAAACAGCCAACAGGGTTCCCACGGTTCTGTAAAACCTGAAAATATCAGGAAATTGTGATTTTTATGTCTGAAAAAAGTCATGAAAAATAGTAATATTTTAATTAATATTATCAATTGTGAAAGTTCATGAACATTTCCGTAGTAAATAATATATAATTGTAATATACTCTAAAAAATTATATTCTCTCCATCTCACCAAGGCTGCATTTATTTAATCAATATTACAATATAAATATAGTAAAGTGAACATTGTGATGTCTGTCATCGTCTATCGGCCCAACCCTATAAACCATATCACCCAAGGCCTAATTTTCTGTCTCTTCACCAGATGATGAAGGTGACCTCCAGCACAGCAGCACAGGGAGCGAAGCGGGCACGGCAGGGGACAGCACCCCTCCTCCCAAGCGCAAGGGCAAGTTCTCTACCCTGGGTAAGATCTTCAGACCCTGGAAGTGGAGGAAGAAGAAAAGCAGCGAGAAGTTTAAGGAAACTTCAGAAGGTCCTTTGTTCTTTTCTCTTCATGTTTGTGTTGGAAAATAGCTTTCCATTCCTTGACATTTTTCCTTAAATCACACCCTAATGTTTGTTAAAGTTTTCTTTCCTTTGCTGATATGAATGTTTTCTCAGATGTTTTAAAGAGCAGGTCCTATGGTATTTTAAAGTGTCCTAATGTTGTGTTGGAGTCCCCTACAACAGGTTTAAATGCATCTAAGGTCAGAAAACATTGTAATTTTCTCAAAATATACATTTAATATTAAAGTCATTTGCCAGTGATTTCGAAACGATTCGTTCCAAGCAAGTTCGTAGCAAACCCCTCCCTTCCATAAGCTTACTCTGCTCTGATTGGTCAGCTGGCCAAGCCTGCTGTGATTGGCACAGAGAGGAGTCCTTGAGCAAGTTAGCGAGCAAGTTACATAAAACAATAATACAGTGCTCCAATCCGTTTTTATAATAATGACATAAAATACAAAAACACTTATGCAAGCGAATCGTGCCCACAGCTGAAGTTTAGCTGCTAAACTGTTAACACTTAAAACAATAATGGTGGATACGTTAGCCAAGTGCTAACGTGATTAATTGATGAAACGATACAGTTTGTAAATCAAAATATGTCTACTGTAATGTTTGAAGAACGCCAGACAAAAGACGCTCTGTCTTAACTTTTAATCAGAACGCAGAACAGCTGTATCACAGGCGCACCAGCCTAACTAACTCGCTCGTCTCTCCCGCATTAACCCTCTAACTGCCGATGCAGCAAAATAAACAGCAATTTCACAATGATTATAAAGTCTGTGCGCTACACTACATTCTTTATTATTAAACGAAGTAATTAGAACAAAGACAGTCTACATTAATCGACACATTCTTAGGAAATAGTGGGTTCACAGCGAATTATCA